ATTTGTTTTAAATATCACAAAAACTTTCTCTTATTAAATTAAAAATAATTTCAATTTACTACACCAATATTAAAAAATAAATTTTTTGAGTAAATAATATTATAAAGTTTATCTTTGCTTTCTCTCGATTAAAAAAATATTTATTTGATTTTATAGATAACTTTTACCCACTGTCTAAGAGTACCACTTTTAATTTCTTTGTTGTTCTCTCACTTGGCCTCTTATCGTTGATGACAAACAAATGTTTTCATTTGATTGCCAACACTATGATATCTAAAGATAAAGATAAAAGGTGAACGAAAAAAAATTCATTGGCCAGTAAAAACATTAACTATCATGAAATTCTAAATCATTGCTTTTACTAATGTGATGTAGAGATTTTTCAAATTTCAATAAATACTTATTAATAAAACAATAGTTGAATATAAAATGTGGGTAGATTTTTGGAATTTTGGAAGTAATACTTAGTAAGACTCTCCGAACATGATTGTAAACTATGCATCTAAAAAGTATAATTACCAATCACGATATCTTCTCTAGCATAATTGGTACTTTATTGAATTGAAGAAAAGAGTTTGATATCTTATTGCATATACATTAAGCGATCTCTTCTACCCCCATTGCAGTTGTGAAACATAATTTGATTTCATCGTTCAAAGTTTTATACTTTTCATTGATAGGTCTTAAATTTAAATTTCGTATAATGTAAGATTTTCCCTTTTCAATTATAACATCAAAAATTTCAATTGCATCATTGAATAATATGGCTTGAATTTTATATCTTGTAGAGAAGACAAATACTACATTACTTCTAATATATAATATAACTATGAAATAAATAGTTGTCGTAGTAGATGTATTACCTCCATGTCAATTATGATGAACCTCAAAATATCAAAATTTTCAACATTTTTGGAATAAGATTCAATCAAACTCTTTCGAAGTACCATCACTTTAATAGACTATTATTTCTATACTCCGATAATTCTCTTATAACCTTTGATTCCATGATGCGGGAACAATCCTGATTTAGCTGAAACCTATCTATTGATGTATAAAAAAGAAAAACAAAATATTTGATGATTAAAATGAAACAATTAATTTGAAATAACAATTTAAATAGTTGAGGAAGTCCATTGGAATAATCTATTCATTTACCATTTTGATCTGAACTTGACATTCAACGAATACCACCATTTATTCATCATCACATAATATGCATTAAATATATTAATTAGAATTATTTATTATAGATACGCATTATGTCCACCCATTTACCTTTTTTGCAACTTAACATTCATTAAATAAATCCATTGGAACAAAACTCTCATTAGATCATCTTTTGGGTTAATAACCCAAATGGTCACTGAATTTTAAAAATCACATAAGTTATTATCGAACTTTGCAAAATATTTACATGGGGTCGCTAAATTTTAAAAATCACTCCATTCATTACTAAATTTTGCAAAAAGTTTTCACGGGATCACTGAACTTTATAAAAAAATTTCAAGGGGATAACTAAATTAGTGATCGCTTGGGAAAATTTTTGCAAAATTTAGTGATGAATGGGGATGATTTTTAAAGTTCAATGATCTTGTGGAAACTTTTTACAAAATTTAGTAACCTAATGAAAACCTTTTTGTAAGGTTCAATGATGATTTAGGCGATTTTTAAAATTCAATGATCTTGTGAATTTTTTTTACAAAGTTCAGTGACCATTTGGGTTATTAACTTGATCATCTTTTATTCCAAAAAATTTAATTTATTATCCAATCAAGTGAAATAAATCTGTCAAATAATTGATGATAATTCAACAGATGATATTGTTTAAATAGTTAAATAAATTAAATACATATTGAAAAATGAAAAGTAAAGTATTATTGAAATAATTGAATTATATTACGGCTAGAATCATTCAGAAAATTATTCTCACTTGATGTGCTATTCTTATTGCATACAATTTCAGCAATCTTTTCTACCTTCGTTGTAGTTGTGAAAGATAATTCGATTTCATCGTTCACATTTTGATACTTTTCCTTGACAGGTCTTACACTTCGATTTTATATAATGTACGATTTCCCTTTTTCAATTACATCATTAAATAAAATGGCATGAATTTTGTATCACTGTGGAGAAGTAAAATACTGAGTTACTTTTTATATGTAATATAATTACGAAATAAATAATTATGTAGTCGACGAATTACCTCCTTATCAATTAGGAGGAACTTCAAAATACCAAAATTCTCAACATTGTTAGAATAAGATTCGGTCAAACTCTTTCAACCTACCATCACTTTAACAGACCATTCATTTCCATATGCCAATAAGTCTCTTATAGCATTTGATTCCATGATATGGGAATAATTCCAATTTGGCTAAAACTTACTTGTTGATGTATTAGAACACAGTGTTACCCAACTTCCAACATTTGCGTTTTAGCCCCCAAACTTTGTTTTTCTATTTTCTTGACTTCTTTTTCTTATTTCTTCTTCTTCCAACACTTCATGTCGTCAACAAATTGGTCCTTAACTCTTTCACATCCTCGTTTATGCTTCTAGATCATATTTTCAGCTATTTTAGATGAACTATGCGGTTGCAAGAAAATTTACGAGGCAGTCACATAGTACAATTCTGATGGGAAAATTTTGGTTTCCTTATTTGATTAAAACTTTTATAGAAACAAATCATGAACGTGATTTTAGAATCCTAAGTCCTTCTAAAAAAGATGAAGACACCTCCCATCTTCTCCACCTCTTTTATAGACTTTCAATTTTCACGAGTAGCTAATTTCTTGTACTTGATCGAAGGAAACTGAAGCTTCGGGACAAATCAAACCGTGAGATCTAAATTATTTTCTTTGTTTAATTCATGTTTTGAGTATTGAATGTTCTTTTGCACGTATTTTCATAATTGTTGCATTTAATTGCTATGAAGCCTACTGGTTTATTATATGCTGCAATCTATAGTTGAGTTAAATATCAAATCCGTAATTGTTTGATCCCTTTAACTTGTAAAGCAACTAGGATTTAATGATTTATTGAGCCAGAGATTGTTAATTTTTGGTAAGAACGTTTGACTAGATTAAATACAACCGCTTGTGCTTGTGTTATTTAGTTTCATTGATTTCTCTAATTCCTAATGTTGTTATCAAATTAAACCTTAGCGCTTGTCTTGAGTTGTTTAATGATTAGGGTTGATTGGATCACTTGTTTTTTTGATTAACTACAATTTAGGAGAGATAGGAAAATAATTCCAATGATGAATGCTAAAAATATGAATTGATAATCACACATGGATTAATGACTAGTTGTGAAATTCTGACGGTGGACGTTGACTTAGATCAATGTTCGTTCTATTGATTTAATCAAATTCGTTAGTTTGCACAGTTATTAGTTATTTTCTTAAAATTGATTGCATTATAATCAAAACCCTCGTTCTTGTTAATATAACATAAAATTAGACTAGACAGTCTTCGTGAGAATGATCCTTACTCACATTACTATAGATAAATTTGAGGAGTATAGGTTTTATTTTTAGATGCCTGCGATAGCATGCCGATTACTTATTACATATAAACATTATGTCCTCCCATTTACCTTTTTTACTTCTTAACATTAATCGAATAAATCAATTGGAACAAAACTCTCATAAGATCATCTTTTGCTCAAAAACATTTAATAGATTTAAATTTATTGTCTAATCAAGTGAAATGAATCTGTCAAATGTACATTGATGATAAAATAGATAATGTTGTTCAAATGGTTAAATAAATTAAGCCCCTACTTGGTAGCAAATTTTCACCCCAAAAAATAAATTTTGACTGTTATTTAACTATTTCAGCCATTATATTTTACTTCTTCACTAACACATGTGACTCATTTTCTCTCTAACAGTTAAAAATTAATTTTCATAATCACTATCGGACATGTCCTAAATATATATTAAAAAATAAAAAGTAAGATATTATGAAATTATTGAATTATAGTTCGACTAGAATCATCCAAAAAATAATTCTCATTTGATGTGATATTTAATATATTATAAATTATTGATAATGCATTGAATTGATTAATTATAAAAAAAATAATAAAATACTAATGTTATATTATTATGTTGCAAAAGGTTATGTTTTATGATAAACAAAAAAATATTTCTAACTTATTTGCACTTTTATATATTGTAAATTCAACATTTTCATTAATTAAATCTAGAAACGATTTATTTCGACAATAATTTAATAAGTAAAATTTAGTTCTTGTTTGGTGGAGGTAAAATGAGTTTTTAGCAGGTTTTGATAAAAATTGATGAAATATATGGTTGAATAGTTATGAATCTCATGACGCATGTGTTTAAAACTAATTGGTTGATAAAAAAAATTAGATTTTAATTTGTATGAAATATATATATACACACACACACAGAGGAATGATCTCCTAAGCATTGGTGACATGACACACCATTTAATTAGCGAATCATTAAATACATATGACCTACCATTAACTTATTCACCAATTAAGCCCTCATTTGGCTTTCATTTTATGGAAATGAATGAAAATGAAAGTAGTTGGAATAGTGTTTTTTTTTTGAAAAATGAATGGTTGAAAAAGAAGGAAAATTTTTCAATTTACGTGTAATATTATTTTTAAAAAAATTGTGTAGTTGAAAATAGGACAGAAAAAATAAAATGTAAAGAAAGAGAAATTAATGGGGGCTAAATGGTGTGTCATGTCACCGGCGCTTAGAAAATCATTTATTTATTTATTTATTTTTAAATTCACTTTAAAGTAATTTTGTATAAAGACACTCCAAAAAATGGAAGATTCGCAAGCGAATACCATTTTGTCGTATTACACAATGTTGTTTGGCAAGAACGGCTGTCATTGTTGTAGAGTTTAGTTGTTAAAATGGCCGGCCGGCCGGCAGAGAAATTTGTAAGCCGTCTAATTCTTTAAACAAATGTCATCATTACATTTATCTTGTTTTGTCATGCTTGTGGTGCGCCAAAACAACGATGATTTTTCCAGAGTTAGTGGGGAATCGAGTGTTGAATTGGCTTCTAAGACAAGCTTAATCATTGGACATTGCAAAAAGTTTAAGCTTTTATTTTTCATTCCTTTACTTGCCTCTCTCTCTCTCTCCATGATAACTTGTTGGGATTTTTGTGGGAAAAAGTGGTGGTTGGATTGAGTGCAAAGCAATAATATTGAGCTAGTATGAAAATATCAGTCTTGGTTTAGTGTCATCCCTTGAGAATTGCAGGTTTTGTGTGTTCAGTTTTCTAGGAAGTTTATAAAGAATTATATTTTCATTTGATAGAGAGTGCAGCAATGGCAGCCTTCCGGCTGCTTCTCCGCAATGTGGTCCTCTTGTCATGGATCAGTTTAATCTACTCTGGGGCGAACCCGCAAGATGGTAAAGTTTTGCCTACATAGTGTTTGTGTTTTTGTTTGAGATGAGAGTTGTGACTTTTGCTTACTAACTCAAAGGAGAGGAGAGGAGAAAATCGATAGAAACTGTCTATAGTTAATGCGAAAAAAAGTTCTAAGAGGCTTCTACTTATTTGATCATATCATTATATAATGTGTACAGAATCGAGGGATTGATTGTGATAGAGTTCCTTTAAGATTCTTTTTGATGCATGGAGCATAATTGTGTTAATGAAAAATGAATGTTGATGCAGCTGCTGTACTCCGAGCATTGAAAGATCAATGGGGAAACATGCCTCCTAGTTGGGATAAATCAGACGATCCTTGTGGAGCATGGGATGGTATTACCTGCAACAATGCCACCTTAAAGGTCACTGCAATGTAAGACGCCTTACTCTTGTATTATTTCTTTTCATTTTTTGTCAACATCAAATCGGTGCCAGAAATACACCTGGGTGGGGGAAAAGGTTTTCCGCTGTCTCATTTTTTACTAGACAAGTGATGCAAATGAATTGGTAATCTCTTGATTTTCAGAGGACTATCAACAATGGGACTAACAGGAACCATGACTGGTGATATTGGGGGGCTCACCGAACTAATTTCCTTGTGAGTTCTCTTGCACCTTTTTCATGTACTGAAGCTGAATATTATTTGTTAGGTTCTGCCTATTAATCAATTCTGGTATCGAATGTTATGTTGACAATATCCATCACCATATACAAGAAGAATGTTGAGGAACATCAGAAAGCACACCTTTTCTGTACTAACTATTCAATGTAAACTTGGTCTAAGATTTTTAGCTATTAATTGCAGGGACTTGTCATTCAACCCTGGCCTCACAGGTCCACTTTCTCCACGGCTAGGAGATCTGCGAAGCTTGAACATATTGTAAGATCTAATGACTCGTTACTACTAGAAATGTCAACTCATCTCTTCTGCTAGACGCAGAAATTAATATGCACGATTTTTATGTAAGTTCCATATATCTTCTGCAGAATTCTGTCAGGGTGTAGCTTTTCTGGCAATATACCAAGTGAATTGGGAAACCTTGCAAACCTGTCTTTTCTGTAAGAATTTCTGGCATTGTTGTATTCATTGATCTGTTCTTATGAAATCATCTCTTTATCTTACAATATGAAACATTCCTTGGCAGAGCGCTTAACAACAATAACCTAACTGGGAATATTCCACATTCCCTTGGCAAACTTTCCGAACTCTACTGGCTCGACCTAGCTGAAAATGAGTTGACAGGGTCTCTCCCTGTATCAACACAATTATTCAATCCACTGTGAATGCTCCAGTACATGAACATCTTTTTTCACTGGGAACACTTCAATCTTCTTGCTAACTTTTTGGATGATATTGGAAAATTGAAATTGTCCACATTTGCAGTGTGACTAACTAGTGAAGCTACGCATTGATTCTTATGAACTTTCTGTATGTTGTTGAACCTTCATTATGGCAAAGTAGAGAATTTTCTTGTGAGTGTGATTTAATTTTTCAAACCAGTTCATTTTTCCTTTAAATAATTTATTTCATTTGCCACTCCAAGTGTTCTGAAGTTTTTGCCTTGCAGTCATTTCAACAAGAACCAGCTTTCAGGCGAAATTCCTGAAAAGCTTTTTAGCTCGGACATGTCTCTAATACATGTGTAAGTTTGACCTAATGCCATATGTTCTAATCCTGAAAACTTCGTTCAATTCTTATTTGTGGTGAAACAAATGGCAGACTGTTTGATGGGAATCAATTGAAAGGGAACATTCCATCTACCATAGCAGAGGTTCGGACACTAGAGGTTCTGTGAGTATACTCCTTTCATAACTTTCGTATCTTACACAATATTACTTTCCTCTTTTTCTCTGAATCACTTTATCATTGTGTACCCTGTTTTATGTGTCCAGTCGACTTGATCGAAATGGCCTGACAGGAAATGTCACGTCAAACCTCAACCATCTCGCAAATATCACTGAATTGTGGGTATACCTTTTCAATCAAATGAAAATGTAAATATTTCTTGGAGAGACTATTGATGATTCACTAAAATTTTTACTCTTTCGTAGGGTTATCTGGATCCAGAATACTACATGACACAACAACTGACAGAGAAAAGTGACGTATATAGTTTTGGTGTGGTGATGCTTGAACTGATAACTGCAAAGTTGCCTATTGAGAAAGGAAAATACATTGTACGTGAAGTACGACTAGCAATGAACAAGAATGATGAAGTGAACGCTAGTCCTGAAATATACTATTCTTCTGACTGATTTTGTTCGTGAACATTTGCTAGTTTTACATTTTGGCAGGGACTTGAGCAACAACTCTTTTCAGAAAACAGAATCTCCAGAGTGGTTCTCAATTTTACAGTCTCTTACTACTTTGTGAGTAATTTATTGATGCAAAACATAGGAAGTTTATCAAACCCAGGACTCATCTTACCTTAGAAATCAAGAACCAAAGACAATCTCATTTTGGAAATCTGATATGGTGTTAGGGTAATTGAACATGGACCGCTACAGGGATCGTTGCCACCTGAAGTTTTTGACATCTGCATCCTCATCTGCCACAGACTTTGGATCTGCAAAAGGAGCACTCAAACATCCTTACGATGATTCTCTACCAAGGAAAGATACCAACGAGAGTGATGCCTTCAAGTATAGTGGTGGATATGCTGTCCCACCAAAAGTTGAACCAAAATAGCGGTACGGCTATATGGCTTTTATTCTTTAAATAATTGCTGTTTTTGTTAAATTTAGTTACATATGCAAATAGATTTACAAAGCTTTCTTGTGTGTCTATTGTTTGCTGAGAGAAATGTTTCATAACTTGTGGATTGTACTTATTTATTTTTACTTTTTGATATTTTTACTTCACTGTTCTGTATATCCACTCAACAAAGTTTACTATCAAATTCTGGAAAAACTTCAACTCTTTTGTCTAATAAATACCACCCCTAACCCACCCCAAATCTTGAAACAGTTTGATGTTCTCGTTGTACATTTGTATTACATGCAAAATAATGAGTTTGAGATTCTGCAAAAATGTGTAGAAGATTATAGACTTAAGTTGGCAGTTGGTGACAATTCGTTCTGGGATTTAAATGCTGTAGGTGTTACGTTCTCAAATTTATGCCTTTCAACGAACTTCTCTGCAGTATTCGAAAATAAGCATGGATCTCTGAATATTATCAAATAAAGCAACTTTCAAGCGTAGGAAGAAGGTGTATCTTTTGGACTTTTTATAGACAACCATACATTATTTATCGAAAATTGAAATCCTTGATCAACGGAAGAAGGGTTAATAATCCAAATGGTCACTGAACTTTGCAAAAAGCTTTCACCGGCTCACTGAACTTTAAAAATCATCCAAGTATCATTGAATTTTACAAAAGGTTTACACGGGGTCACTGAACTTAAAAAATCACTCCATTGATCGCTAAATTTGTCAAAAGATTTTCGCGGGATTACTGAACTTTGCAAAAACTTTCCTTCCTAGGGGTCAGTGATCTAGTGGAAACTTTTTGCAAACTTCAGTAACCTCGTAAAAACCTTTTGCAAAATTCAGTGATGACTTGTGTGATTTTTAAAATTCAGTGACTCGATGAAAACTTTTTGCAAAGTTCAATGACCTTTTGGGTTATTAACTAAACAAAAGAAAAATAGCATTATTTTTGTTTAATAAGATATCGTAATAGCTTGTGCGGTGCATCTCGACAACAATATATTAACACTACAATGAAAAAAACTTCTAACTTCTCTTTATTTTGTAGTTTCCGTTTGGCCTATTTATAAGTTGTTTATGAATTAATCGAATTTCATTGTCAACTACACATTCTAATGGACTCACAAATATTATCTACTTAATCACTACTCATTTCTCTCTATAAATTAAATCGTTTATAAATTCTTTCCAAATGGAGACTATAGTACCTGAGGAAATATGGTCCAGCCGAACCTAGATGCATCAAAATCCAAGAGGGTCTCAATTTTCTTTTGGTCGTTCATCAAATGACATCAATAGCCTTCACTCTTCAAAATTTAAATGACATTCATCAAATGTAATAGCCTATGAAAATAACGAGGAGTATTTCGGTTTGTTCAACAATTTGTGCTCGCACACCTCATGCGCTCGTTGTTCATAATCAGTATCAGACTCATGGTTTCGTATTAGAATGCTTGCTAACAGTGATATAGTTTCGCACATGATTTGATAATTTCGACTTTTAAAAATGCTCGTTATCAATAACATAGGTTCACACATGTGAGCTAAGAATGGGTACAACAGCAATGGTTAAAACTCTTGCCTTTAACTTTGAGTTTGACTTCTACACAACTTTCCATATTAAATTAAGAAGAGTGGATGTTCCCACCACTGTTTTTTGTAAAATTAATTGATAACAAAATAGTACCCGAAGTTCGAATCTAATCATTCATGTTAGGTTCAGGACTTATATTTAGGTTGTCTACATTATGTGAGCCCAAAATAATTATGATTCCTGAACCAGTGCTAGTCCTGACTATAGGCAAGATAGGCGAACGCCTAAGGTCCCATTTTGGTGAGAGCTCCAAATTTATTTTATTATTTTATTTTACTTGTATTTATATATATATATATATATTCCTATTATAGTATTTTTCCATACATCTATAACATTATTTCATGTCTGTGGATCATGTGCTGTAATATTTAAAATCTGTGCTTTGTGATCTGATTGGAATTCTATTTTCTTTTCTAAAGGTCTTTCACTTCCTCTTGCTATATATTTTCCTTCTGTATTATTATATAAAGGATAGGCTCCTCTTGGGGGAAATCCTCCACTATAAATCATTGCTTCATGTGTAACTGTTTTATCGAAAGGAGTATCACTAAAAGTTCTATATGTATTTGAATCTTCCATAAGTTCTTTTATATAACTAAAATCTGAATTTTCTGAATCATTATCTTCTTTAATGGTTCCTATTCTTATATTCTGTTCTTGATCATAATATAAGTATTCAGATTCTGTTATTGTTTTATTAAGGTACATTTGATCTTCTAGTTCTAATATTTCCTTATTATCTAAATTCATTCTTAATTCTTTTGGATAAATTATTCTATCATGTTCTTCATCTATTAGTTCTAGATGAACCTGATTTTGAAATGGTTCATTTTGTTCTTCATCAGGATTGGTTTCTTCTTCAAAATCATTCTGTCTTTGTACTTGATTATAGTCTAAGAATCTTAAACTAGTCCTTCCATGAATATCTTTGTAAGTTAATGCTTCTTGAGGTGCTATAATTGTTTCTTGATTTTCTAAAAATTTATCCATATCCCATTCTAATCCTGCTAATTGTTCTGATGAATATTCTTTTGGTTTAACCATGTTAATTCCTTTACTACTCATTAAGTTTACTACTTTATCTATGTAAATTTTATATTTTGTCTTGGAGTTATTTGAACATCTTCCTAAAAATCCTATACTAATTAATAAATTATCTCCACTTTCTACTTCTTCATATCCTTTTGTTTGAATTCCCATTTTATTTTTTTCTGAAAAATCTTTAATAGTTAATAAAAAATCTGGATTACAATAAATTATTCCATTATTATTATTCATATCAACTTCTGTACTAGCAATCATACTTTTATCTATATTATTAATTCTTTCATCATATATAGTAACTAAAACCTTACATCCTAAATTTTTTCTCATTAATCCTTTTATTCCTATAACTATTAATCATAAATGCATAAATCTAAAATTTTTCTTTTTTAATTCTCTCTTAGAGTCTTCTGATATTAAATTTAATTTTCTTACTTGGTTTCCTATGCATTGGACAGATACTTCTCTACTATGTCTAAAAAATTGTGTTCTTGTTTCAAAAATTCCTCTATTATATAATATTTCTGGGTTAAGGATTCTTAAACCATTAGTTTGGAATCTTTGGTAATCTTGTTGAGGATCTATGATTTCTTCTATATTTTGATTATATTGTACCGGTCTATTTAAAACTCTTTCTATTATATTTCTTGTCTACATTATGTGAGCCCAAAATAATTATGATTCCTGAACCAGTGCTAGTCCTGACTATAGGCAAGATAGGCGAACGCCTAAGGTCCCATTTTGGTGAGAGCTCCAAATTTATTTTATTATTTTATTTTACTTGTATTTATATATATATATATATATTCCTATTATAGTATTTTTCCATACATCTATAACATTATTCCACGTCTGTGGATCATGTGCTGTAATATTTAAGATTTGTGCTTTATGATCTGATTGAAATTCTATTTTCTTTTCTAAGGGTCTTTCACTTCCTCTTGCTATATATTTTCCTTCTGTGTTATATATTTTCCTTCTGTATTATTATATAAAGGATAGGCTCCTCTTGGGGGAAATCCTCCACTATAAATCATTGCTTCATGTGTAACTGTTTTATCGAAAGGAGTATCACTAAAAGTTCTATATGTATTTGAATCTTCCATAAGTTCTTTTATATAACTAAAATCTGAATTTTCTGAATCATTATCTTCTTTAATGGTTCCTATTCTTATATTCTGTTCTTGATCATAATATAAGTATTCAGATTCTGTTATTGTTTTATTAAGGTACATTTGATCTTCTAGTTCTAATAATTCTTTATTATCTAAATTCATTCCTAATTCTTTTGGATAAATTATTCTATCATATATATATATATATATATATATATGAGGTTTCATATTTGAAATTGGTCTAAGACTCCCAAAATCTCAGGGTCGGCCTTGTCCTTAATTTGATTCTTTGTTGAAATATACAAACACTTATCTTGGCTTTTTATAAAGATGAGATCAATAAGATGCTTAATTGACTTTCTCTAAAACAAAGCTGAGTATCTTTACTCTGTGTTAGCAAAGCTCGTAAATATCTCTTAGCAGTCTTCGAAGTTCGAGTTTAACTATTTATGTTGAGTTACGAACTTGTGAAGTGTCCGTAGAGATTTAAAATGTCGAGAACATTTAATATTGTGATTT